AGTATTACACTTATCCCAAAACCAGGCAAAGACACCTCCAAAAAGGAGAACTATAGGGCCAATCTCCTTAATGAACATTGATGCAAAAATCCTCAACAAAATAATGGCAAACCGAATTCAGCAACACATCAAAAAGATTATTCACCACGACCAAGTAGGCTTCATCCCAGGGATGCAGGGGTGGTTCAACATACGAAAATCAATAAACGTAATAAACCACATTAACAGAAGCAAAGACAAAAACCACTTGATCATCTCAATAGATGCAGAAAAAGCCTTTGATAAGATCCAACATCATTTCATGATAAAAGCTCTAAGAAAACTAGGAATAGAAGGAAAGTTCCTCAACATTATAAAAGCTATATATGACAAACCTACAGCCAGCATTATACTTAATGGAGAAAAACTGAAAACCATTCCCTCTAAAATCAGGAACCAGACAAGGATGCCCACTATCTCCACTCCTATTCAACATAGTACTGGAATTCCTAGCCAGAGCAATTAGGCAAGAAGAAGGAATAAAAGGAATACAAATAGGTAAAGAAACTGTCAAAATATCCCTATTTGCAGACGACATGATCCTATACCTTAAAGACCCAAAAAACTCTACTCAGAAGCTTCTAGACATCATCAATAGCTATAGCAAGGTAGCAGGATATAAAATCAACATAGAAAAATCATTAGCATTTCTATACACTAACAATGAGCAAATGGAAAAAGAATGTATGAAAACAATTCCATTTACAATAGCCTCAAAAAAATCAAATACCTAGGTGTAAACCTAACAAAAGATGTGAAAGACCTCTACAAGGAAAACTATACACTTCTGAAGAAAGAGATTGAGGAAGACTATAGAAAGTGGAGAGATCTCCCATGCTCATGGATTGGTAGAATCAACATAGTAAAAATGTCGATACTCCCAAAAGTAATCTACATGTTTAATGCAATTCCCATCAAAATTCCAATGACATTCATTAAAGAGATTGAAAAATCTACTGTTAAATTTATATGGAAACACAAGAGGCCACGAATAGCCAAGGCAATACTCAGTCAAAAGAACAATGCAGGAGGTATCACAATACCTGACTTCAAACTATATTACAAAGCAATAACAATAAAAACAGCATGGTACTGGCACAAAAACAGACATGAAGACCAGTGGAACAGAATAGAGGACCAGATATGAAGCCACACAACTATAAGCAACTTATCTTTGACAAAGGAGCTAAAAATATACGATGGAGAAATAGCAGCCTCTTCAACAAAAACTGCTGGGAAAACTGGTTAGCAGTCTGCAAAAAACTGAAACTAGATCCATGTATATCACCCTATACCAAGATTAACTCAAAATGGATCAAGGATCTTAATATCAGACCCCAAACTCTTAAGTTGATACAGAAAGAGTAGGAAATACTCTGGAGTTAGTAGGTATAGGTAAGAACTTTCTCAATGAAACCCCAGCAGCACAGCAACTAAGAGATAGCATAGATAAATGGGACCTCATAAAACTAAAAAGCTTCTGTTCATCAAAAGAAATGGTCTCTAAACTGAAGAGAACACCCACAGAGTGGGAGAAAATATTTGCCAACTATACATCAGACAAAGGACTGATAACCAGAATATACAGGGAACTTAAAAAACTAAATTCTCCCAAAACTAATGAACCAATAAAGAAATGGGCAAGTGAACTAAACAGAACTTTCTCAAAAGAAGAAATTCAAATGGCCAAAAACACATGAAAAAATGCTCACCATCTCTAGCAATAAAGGAAATGCAAATTAAAACCACACTAAGATTCCACCTCACCCCTGTTAGAATAGCCATCATCAGCAACACCACCAACAACAGGTGTTGGCGAGGATGCGGGGAAAAAGGAACCCTCTTACACTGTTGGTGGGAATGTAGACTAGTACAACCACTCTGGAAAAAAATTTGGAGGCTACTTAAAAAGCTGACATCGATCTACCATTTGATCCAGCAATACCACTCTTGGGGATATACCCAAAAGACTGTTACTCCAGAGGCACCTGCACATCCATGTTTATTGCGGCACTATTCACAATAGCCAAGTTATGGAAACAGCCAAGATGCCCCACACTGACGAATGGATTAAGAAAATGTGGTATCTATACACAATGGAATTTTATGCAGCCATGAAGAAGAACGAAATGTTATCATTCGCTGGTAAATGGATGGAATTGGAGAACATCATTCTGAGTGAGGTTAGCCTGGCCAAAAGACCAAAAATCGTATGTTCTCCCTCATATGTGGACATTAGATCAAGGGCAAACACAACAATGGGATTGGACTATGAGCACATGATAAAACCAAGAGCACACAAGGGAGGGGTGAGGATAGGTAAGACACCTAAAAAAATAGCTAGCATTTGTTGCCCTTAACGCAGAGAAACTAAAGCACATACCTTAAAGCAACTGAGGCCAATAGGAAAAGGGGAACAGGTACTAGAGAAAAGGTTAGATCAAAAAGAATTAACCTAGAAGGTAACACCCATGCACAGGAAATCAATGTGAGTCAATGCCCTGTATAGCTATCCTTATCTCAACCAGCAAAAACCCTTGTTCCTTCCTATTATTGCTTATACTTTCTCTACAACAAAATTAGAAATAAGGGCAAAATAGTTTCTGCTGGGTATTGAGAGGGGGGGAGAGGGAGGGGGCGGAGTGGGTGGTAAGGGAGGGGGTGGGGGCAGGGGGGAGAAATGACCCAAGCCTTGTATGCACATATGAATAATAAAAGAAAAATGGAAAAAAAAAAGAAAGAGGGAAAGTGGAGTTCACAGATTTTAAAGGTATGTTTTGAATAAATAATGACTGTAGTATCATCTCACAGCTCGTGACTTTTTATTTTTGAGCCTGGCATCCTAGGAGTGGCTGCTACTCTGGATCACAGCAATTTCTTGTTCACACTGTTCACAGGTTGGCTTAGGGTGCTAGTGCCAGTAAGACTTCATCTGTTTGTGGATGGAACAGAAGCATAAATATCCATGACCTTCCATTTGGCAATGGTCTCATAGATACAACACCAACAGTAAAGCAATCAATGAGAAAATTGATAAATTGGATGTCATCAAAATTGAAAACACTCATACCTCAATTTAAAATGTAGACAGCACACATAATAGGAGAAAACATCTGCAAATCACATTTCTGATAGGAATCTGCATCTAAGATACATAAAGAACACTTGTCCACCAGGCTTGACAATGCATGCCTGTAATCCCAGTACTTGGAGGCTTGAAGCAAGAGGATTGAGAGTTCAAGGCCAGCCTGGACTACATAGTGAGACCCTGTCTCAAACCACAAAAAGAAAAAAAAAAAGAAACATTTGCAATCCAATCATTTAAAAAGACATAAACCAATTTTTAAAATAAGAATATCTCCAAATAGACATTTTTCCAAAGAGGACAAAAGAATGGCTAATGGGCACATGAAAAGACATTCAATATCATTAGGCTCTCAAATAAATTTAAACCAAAGCCACAATGAGATACCATTTCACACCCAATAAGAAAAGTAATCAAAAACACTGATAGCAAATGTTAGTGAGTATAGGAGGATCAAGACTCTCCTGTACTGCTGGACAGAATACAAAATGATGCAGCCACTTTGAAAACTGGTGTGGCATTCCTACAAGGTTGACCCAACAACCCTTCTCTTAATGTGCACCCAAGAAAAATGAAGACATTTTTCCATGAAAAAAAATGTGTTTGTGAACAATCATGGCAGCACTACTCATAATAGTCTACAAGTGGATCCCATGCAATGTTCATCAACCGAGAACTAGGTAGATAAGATATGGTACGTCAGCAAAAAGGAATGAAGTATTGACACCTGCCACAACGCGGACAACAATTGAACAGTATGAAAAGTGAAAACAATCCAGTCACAAAAGACCCACGTTATATGATTCCATTGATAAGAAAAGTCCAGAAAAGGCAAATCCATAGGGTCAGAGAGAGTGGAATAGTGTTTGCCTAGGGATGAGGCAGTTGTGGGGATATAGAAAGTGGCTGACAATGAGTACTCTTTTTTGAGGCACTGGGATTGAACTTGGGGTCTTACACTTTCTAGGCTGGTGTTCTTACCATTTGATCCACTCCACCAACCCTTTTTTGTGATTGGTTTTATCGAGATAGGGTCTCATGAACAATTTGCCTAGGCTGGCTTTGAACTGCAATCCTCCTGATCTCTGCCTCCTGAGTAGCTAGGATTATAGGCATGAGCCACTGGTGCATTTCTTTAAGAAATGACCAAAACATTTAAAAGTTGATTGTGGGGATGGTGCACAGCTCTTAATATGCTAAAAAACATTGAATTGCACACTTTAAATAGATGAGTTGTATCATATGAGAATCATATCTCAACAAAGCTGTTATTTTTTAATTATGTAGGAAAGTGAGAAAGGCAGAAACAGACAAAGCTGTGGGAAAAGGAAACAGAAGGGAAAAACGATCAGATTAGATTTAAAAACAAAGACTAACTCAAGTAGAGAATTCAGGAAAGCACCAGAGGAGGAAACAAAGCTACTGACTTGGTTGACTCAGTCTCAGTGTCCCCATCTGTAACATTCTTAGTTAGGCCCATTGTTTCAAAATTCTCAAGGGTCTCTGTCTCTCTGACATCTCTCTTCCTCTCCAAAAGACTGCAAGTATTTGGATCAGTGGGTTTTCTTCCTTGAATTTGTATCATACATGAATTAAAAACAAGAACTCAATCAGTGTAGTGGCACACACCTGCAATCCCAGCACTCAGGAGACTGAGGCAGGAGTGTCATGAGTTTCAGGCCAGCCTGGGCTACAAAGTAAGACTCTGTCTCAAAAAAAAAAAATGACATAGGAAAATCAAAACAACAAAAAGGACTCTGATTATCCCCTTCTCCAACCCATACACTCCCCAATTCACCTCCTCCTTGAATACCATGGCTTCCAGAGTTCACCCCAAATCACACTGAGGCCCTGGACCCCACCCCGTCCATCCGACCTGGCATCTCGTGTGTCTGGGATGCTGCGATTGTGAGGTAACTGGTTGCTGAGGTAAACGTTGTAGCCAAACCTCTGGAACAGGTCCTGGGCATCTTTCTGCTGGGCCTCAGAAAGACCCTCGCCCCACTGTTGAAAGAGCCTGGAATGTGGGAAGAGTTTCCTTGGTGGTGCGGGCTGCTTTGACTCTGTCACCTTGGCATTCACTGCATTTTGAACAGGGTGAACTTCAACTTTCTCCTTCTTTTTTGTAGTCTCCACATTTTTGTGTTGCTTCATAGCCAATAACATACTTTCTTCTGCAAATGAAGAGGATAAGGGGTTGGATGATGTATTGGAGGCTTGGTCCTCTGTCCTGGCTCTACTTTAAGAGGTGGGGCCTAGCTGGAAATATTCAAGACAGGTAGGTGTATGCTCTTCAAGGGGAGAAGGGGAGATTGGAATTCTGGCCCCCATCCCTCCTTATACTCTACCACTATAGGTGAGCACCTCATCCACTGGGCACTCTCACCATAATGCTGCCTCACCATAGCCCAAAAGCAACATGGCCATCCAACCCTGCTTGAAGTCAAACCTTCAACACTGTGAACCAAAATAAATCATTTCTTAATACAACTTACAAAGGCAAACTCATCAGAATTACATGAAACCTCTAACAAAAAGCCTAAAAGCCAGCAAAGCATGGAAAAATGTATTTTAAGCCCTGAGAGAAAATAATTGTCAATCAAGATTATGATATCCAGCTAGATGCCAGTGGCTCATGCTTATAATCCTAATTACCTGGGAGGCTGAGATCAGTACATTCATGGTTTGAGGCCAGCCCAGGCAAATAGATCATAAGACCCCTATCTCCAAAATAACCACAGTAAAATGCACTAGGGGTATGGCTCAAGCAGTAGAGTACTTGCTTTGCAAGCAGGAAGCCCTGAGTTCAAACCCTAGGCCCACATATACACACAAAAAATACAATATCCAGCAAAGTTATCACTTAAAATTAGTGGGAAAATTAAGATCTTCCAAGATAAGCATAAGCTAAAGCAATTCATGATCACTAAGCCAGCATTGCAGAAGACACTGAAAGGAATCCTACATACAGAAAAGGAAGAAAGACAGTCAGAAACACAAGCACTCAGAAAAGAATAAATTTCATGAGAGGAACAGATGAACAAATGAGAATTCGGAAAGAACCAAACATGTTTATCTCAGTAAGCCAATAAACCCTTAAGATGAATAAGGGAAAAAGACAAAAGCAAACTGTGCTTTAATTAATCAGGAAAAAAGCCAACAAAATCACAGAAATCAACAAATACCTCTCAATAATAACCATAAATGTAAATGTTCTTAACTCTCCAATCAGAAAACACAGACTGCTAAAAAACAAAATCCAAATGGTTTTTGTCAATATATGCAAATCAAGAAATGTAATATAGCACATAAATAGAATTAAGGACATAAATCACATGATCATCTCAATAGATATGGAAAGAGCCTTTGACAAAATTCAATATCCCTTCATGATAAAAGTCCTGAAGAAACTAGGAATAGAAGTAATGTACCTCAACAAATGAAGGTTATATATGACAAAACTTATAGTGAACATCATACTAAATGGGGAAAAACTGAAATAATTTCCTCTAAAATTAAGAACAAGACAGGGAGTCCATTCCACTATTATTCAATCTAGTGCTTGAATTCTTAGTCAGAACAACAAGACAAGAGAAAAAATAAAGGGGATACAAACAGAAGAGGAAAAAATCAAATTATCCCTATTTGCAGATAATATGATTCTATATTTAAAAGACCCTAAAGACTGCACCAAAAAACTCTTTGATCTGGCTGAGTGTGTGGCTCAAATGGTAAAGAATCTGCCTAGCAAGTTCAGCCCTAAACCCAGTACCACCAAAAAAAAAATCAACATACAAGTATCAGTAGATTTTCTATATACTAATAATGAAAAGGCTGAGAAAGAAATTAGGAAAACAATCTCATTTACAATAACCTCAAAAAATACCTGGGAATAAACTTAATTGAGGAGGTGAAAGACCTCTAAATTAAAACTATAAAACACTGAAGAAAGGCCAGGCACTGGGGACTCATGCCTGAAATACCAGCTCCTCAAGAGGCAGAGATCAGGAGGATCCTGTCTCAACAAATGGGAAACACATTTGTTATCCCAGCTCTGTGGGATGTATATGAAGGAGGCCATGGCCCAAGGCCAATCCAGGCAAAAAAAACCATAAGAACCTATCTGAAAAATAACTAAAAAGCAGAAAGAACTTGGGGTATGATTCAAGTAGTACAACACCTTCTTAACAAGCATAAGACCCTGAGTTCAAATCCCAATACAACCAAAAACAAACAAAAAAACTGAAGAAAGAAATTGAAGAAGGTACTAGAAGATAGCAACACTGTCAACCTCCCATGTTCATAGATCAACAGAATTAATATTGTGAAAATGCCTAAACTACTAAATACAATTTAGAGATTTAATATAATCTCCATCAAAATTCCAATGTCATTTCTTACAGAAACACTACTGTCACTACTTAGATATGTGTGACTCCATATTGTGCAACCATTTGTGAGCCTGAGGCAGGTGCATTGATATTTAACTCACAGAGCTGTTTGTGAGGACAGCAATGAGCCGATCTGTGGATAGTGTCTGACATGTAACACTGCACCCAATGTGGGTCCTGGCCTCCCCTGTTTGCCCTTCCACGTAACACAGGACTTTGACATAGCAGCTCTAGCCTATCAATTAGACTTGAAGCATCAAGAAATGAAATGTTTCCATAACTGTATGCCTTGCTGTCTCTTCGTAGGCCAAGTAACCTGATCTGATCTGATATGGAAACAAAAGCAGGTCATCCCACATTACTTCTTATTTGTCCTTTCTTACCATCTTTTTTTTTAAAACCCTCTATTTCAACATTGAATAACAGCCTCCCATTGACGCCCAGGTAGGGAACAGTGCAAAGCAACAGAGTGTAGAGATGGATCTGCTGGAGAACATGTTGAAATCAGGAATCTTGGCTCCTGAATACCTGCTCTGTCCTTATATACAAGACCATGGGGGCCTCTCCCTTACAGAGAAGAAGACTGTATATCCTACCTGAGCTTCAGAGTGATGTAAAATGAATAGAAAACTTGTGAACATTTTGTTACCAGATTCCCAATTTTTATCAAATGCTTATTCTTAAGATAAATGAAATTGCCCACATATAATACAACTCACTAAATGCACCTGCAAGGAAAAAATGGGAAGGAATGCACAAAAAATGAAATATTTTTCAAAATTAATGACCAGCTGAATTATTGATTAATGGTTTATTTCTGGACTTGGCAATATTTCCCACAAGTTCTAAATTAGGATGCATCATTTTAAAAATCAGAATTAAAGCTGATAGGAAAAAAGCAATACTTATGAAGACCAGATAGTAACAGACCCAGGCAGAGGACTGTTTATATACAGGAGAGGCCTTCCAAGGTCCATGGCACCAATAGTACCCATGATGCTTTACACTTAGAAAATGGAAGACAAATTTCAGAGCTCTTTCCCATCCATTGTGTACCTCAGCTTTACAAAAACCCTGTAAGATTTGTGCTGGAGTCCTAACAATTGTACCTCAAATACAGTCTATAAACTCAACAAAAGAAGAGAGAGAAAGGAACCATTTCAATACTTAGAGATTAGGACACTTGCAGTCATTATGAGGGTAGTGAAGTCTCTCTGCCATCGTATCACTGAGTTCTCACTAGTCCTCCCCTAAACCCACATTAAATTCCACCCAGGCTGATGGGATTACCTTCAGCCCATCCAGCATCTTCCTGCACATTAAGAGAGAAGGCACCCTTTCCTCTGTATGATTGAAGCCCAGGACCCCCAGCAGGGGAGGAGATGGTCCCATAGTGTGGCTCTTCTCTGGGATACAGTCCTATGCACAGCACCTAACTGGGTAAGCAGAATGTGAGCTGGACCTCAGATGTATATGTAGACCTCAAAATGGAAGCTGGAAGTCGTACAACTGGAAGGAAAATATGTTTGGAAGAATATGCAAGATTGGAAGCTGGACACAATGAAGTATGCCTGTAATCCCAGCATTTGGGAGGCTGAGGCAAGAGGATCTCAGGTTCAAGGCCAACCTATGCTACATAGCAAGACCCAATCTCAAAAAACAGAAGGAGGTAGAGAAGGAGAAAGAAGATTGGTCCAAGGACAAGAAAAGGAGAAAGAGAATCAACTAAAGTGCTTAAGACTGAAAAGAGGATGGTGAAAGCTTATTGGGGAGAAAAACAAGTGTTAGTAGGTCTGTCAAAGAACCTTGTGTAAATACCAGGCATATTTGCTCAGGTTGAAAATTAAAGAGAGAACAAAATGTTGACAGTGTTCCACAATGAATCATATTTGTCACACTTTTTGGAACTAAGAGCATGGAGTCACAGGATGGTACAGGGTTCCTTTGCCTCTAAATTCCTCTACATTTTCTTTGGGAGCGTTCCATTTTCTCTTTCCCTCCCTACTGCCCATGGGAACTGGTTTGGACCTGGACAACCCAGAATCTATTTGAAGAAGGGCAGAGAGTCCAACAGCACAAATAGAGTCACCAGCTAATTCCAGTGACTCGTACTGAAACTTTCCAAGCCCCAAAGGGGACACACCCAACAGCACTACTCTGGTGGAGCTTTTAGGAATTGCTAGGGAGGTTCCAGTAAACTGACTTAGAGTCACAGTTTCCTCTGTCAATAGAGATATATCATTACATGTTTGTTTTTGCTGTTAATTTTCCCCAAGTATCTTTATTGACTTACGGTTTTCTTCAATCTTCCTGGCACCTGGAGGCAAGAAGAATGGGGATAATGGGTAATTGAACAGGTTTTCTGGTACAGGAAGCACTGTAGGTCCAAAGAGAATTTAGTGATCTGGAAACAGGGCCCAGAAGACATTGGAGGTCCATCTCAAGAGGAAGAAAGTTGACGTTACTTTTTAGAAGGACTAAAGTGGCAGCACCAAGATTAGAAGAAAAGGAGGAAGTGTCGCTAAAAAGAAGGAAAGGGAAATAAATATACCTGGGTGGCACTGGATGGCTCCTCATGACATCCAGTGTTCCAGATGAAGGAAAGATCTGCCCTTGAAAGGCTGGCGGAGGCTGGGACAGTAAGCTGAGCACCAGGGTTGGGTGGGAGAGTTCGGGTGTGGTCCAGGTGCTCTGTGGATGTTGCTGCCGGGTCACATCCTGGGTGCATAGACTCCGCCTAGCTAAGCTGCACTGCTCACACTCCCATGTGCTCTGTCCCACCCAGCCAGATGAGCCAGGACCCTGGAGGGAACCCAGAAACCTCTGTTTCTTCCACTCCCTTGCCCTGTATCACACTTCCCTTCATTTTTGTCTGTCTGTCCTTTTCTCTCCCCTTCCTATACTCACACATTCATCTACTTAATTTCTATGTGTGTATAGGAGAGAATGGTAGCCGGGCACCAGTGGCTCACACCTGTAATCCTAGCTACTCGGGAGTCAGAGATCAGGAGGATCATGGTTCAAAGCCAGCCCCAGGCAAATAGTTCATGAGACCCTATGGGGAGGGGGGAGGAACCACAAAAAAGGGCTGGTGGAGTGGCTCGAGGTGTAGGCCTGAGTTCAAACCCCAGTACCACAAAAAAAAAAAAAAGAGAGTGAAAAACGAGATATTCATGGAACCAATCTTTATGAACTTTGCTTTCCAGAAAATTGTATTACAGTGAAACACAGTGAATGTTAGGAGGGGGTGTAGAAGATGCTATGGGTTGCTTGATGTCCCCCTCCTTTTAGCCTCTTCCCCATCTCATTTCCCTTTTCCTTTTGTCTCACTATAAACTTTTATTCTCTCTCACTTACTTCCCTTTTCCTGTCTTGTTCTCTGTGTGTGTGTGTGTGTGTGTGTGTGTGTCTCTCTCTCTTCTCTCCTCTCTTCCTTCCCTTTTCTCTTCCTGTCTTTCTTTTTCTTTTTTCTTCACTCTAAAATTCGATAATGCTCATGTCTCATTTTAAAAGACACCATCACCATCTCCAGCCCCATCCACACATCCAAGGAGTCACATTCCTGCTTGTGCATTCAACACCTCCCTTAAGGGATCAGCACTTGAGCCTTGTCACTTGAAGAGCAGGAAAGATTGTGACTTTCTCACTGAAGTCGGATGCTGCAGAGTTTGCTTTCTGTGGGAGAGCCTGAATCATGAGCAAACCCCAAGATGTGTTGAACTTTAAATTGGGCACATGTCACCTTTTGCATGTATTTCACAACCTGGAAGGTCAGCAAGGCACCCCTTGTCATCATAATTATCATTATCATTCTGTAGACATGCTGCTAGGAGAGATAAGCACTTGCCCAAAGTCCCACAGTCATAAGGCCATGGCAGAATTCTATCTTCGCCCTCTAACAAAGCTGCCATTCACTCCTGTCAGAGCTCCCAACCAAGAGGAAGTAAGCCCTTTGCCACCAGAGATGGCACACACAGGCCATCCCTGTCACACACAGGCCTAAGGAAAGGGCTGTGCCTAGACATCCCTGAGCCTCTCGGGGCTTCTTGGTTGCACATATGCAGATGTGACCATGTGTGTGCACATGGCATGTTGTGTTCCAAATGAAGGAAAGCACACATGCATCTCTTCCACACATACCCCATTCCCTCCCCCACCTGCCTACTCTCATTCCACTTCTGCCCACCTAAGCCCACTCGCATGCACACACATGCATGTCACGCCTCCACATTAGTGTGCTGCACTTACTCAGATGTTGCACATCCTCCTCCAGGTGAGAGAGTCTCTTGGCCATGGCTTCATCCCACTCTGAGAGAGATGAACGGAGCTCCCTTTGGTGACTACCCAGAATCAAGCCTTGAAAAGGCCTCTTGGTAGAAAACGCCAGGAGGAGATTGACGGCAATGACCAGAGTCAGCCCAGTGCAGAGGACTTTGGGCAGTTTCCACCTGAGCATCATCTTCTGCCTGTGACCCCTCACTCCCTGCCGGCTGAGCACTTGCTGGTCAGGCAAGCTGGGGGCAGGACTGGCTGAGTCGGTCACCGGCGCCTGCACAAATGTCACTCTGACTGCTGAACCAGATGTTCTGTTGCCAGGAACACTGTCACAAGCTGCCTGGTTTGTCCCTGAGCAGCATCAGGTGTGGGGAGTGTGCCAAGGGAACCTCCCAGTGACTGGTAAGTCACCTGAGCACACCTAGAACTGCCTCAGAAGTCAGGGGAACACGGCTCTTTCTCTCTCTCTCTCTCTGTTTTTTACTGTTCTCTCTCCCTGGTAAAATCACCTGGGAGGCTCTCTGAGGGGACTTGTAAGGTCTGGTCCTTTGGTACCCAAGGGGACAAATAAGCTGAGAAAGGAATGCACAAAGTAGGGAGGGTCTTGTCTGCTTTTCGAGAGGAAGGACTTTAGCTCTCTTTCTGCCTAACTCTACAGGGCTGGGTTGTGGACATAATAGTTGTATAATTTCCTGCTGATTCCTGGACCCTTTGTGCTTGGAGGTAACCTGGAGCCGTAACCTGGGGCAAACCTGGGGGAATTACCTGCTTCACCAATCTCTGTCTTCTAATATCCTCTTCTCAACTCTGTACTCTGCCCTATCTCACCTTCCAGTAACTCCTTTGCCTCCACGCCCCACAGAAATCACTAATTATCATCACTACAGATTAAACACTTAAAATTGCTCCCCAGGGCCAAAAGTTCAAATTCTCAGTCCAGTGTTGGGTACTTCCATAGTTGAAGTTATCACCCTGTCCTGGACCCTTGGACTACCCACTAGGTCCCCAAAACAGCATATGCAGAAAAGCACTGGGGCAGACAGGTGGATTAAAGAAAAGACATGGTTTTAGGGAAAGAGATAGAATGAAAGAGAAAAAAACAGAAAGTAATCAATTTGATACTCATCAATTAGATTGGAGTCAAAACAGAAAAAAATGCATGATTCCCTTCCATTTCTGAGTTGAATCCAGTAGACACATTGGTCTCTGTTCCCCATCACTAATGGCAACTAAAAACTCTAGACATTATATATAAAAGAAACAGGAAAACTGAAAGGTAGAGAGAAGAGGGCAGACAGGCTAGAGATCTTGAGACTACTCAACAACACAGATGTGAGTCCTACAGGTTTTCTGTTGGCCTAACACACCCGGTACAATAAACAAAATTTTAAATCACTGGCCAAGCCTCAACAGCAAAAAGAAGAAGACACCCATGAGTTTATAACAAATTACTTAATATTCATGTCATTTGAGCCTTAGAAGGAAAGAAGAAAGCAGCTAAGTAAAAATTTTAAGAAACAAGGGATCAGATTTCTCCAAAGCTAAAAAAGACAGATTTGTTGTTGTTGTTGTACTGGGGTTTGAACTCAGGGCCTACACCTTGAGCCACTCCACTAGCCCTTTCTTTGTGATAGATTTTTTTTGAGATAGGGTCTCAGGAACTATTTACCCAGGCTGGCTTCAAACCTCGATCCTTCTGCTCTCTGCCTCCTGAGTAGCTAGGATTACAAGCATAAGCCACCAGTGCCTGGCTGCAAAAGACAGAGTTAAGCAGTTGAATTAACCTCAAATAGGATGAACGCAAAGAAATCTATGTACAGAAACATCACAACCCATCTTCTGAAAACTAACTTTTAAAATGCTTAAAAAGTAGCAAGAGAGCAGCAATCCCTATGGAGAGAACAATCAAGATGACAGAGTTCTTGTCTGAAATCACAAAGACCAAAGGGAAGTACCACAATATTTTATCAGTGCTGAAAGAAATAAACAGTTGTCTCAGATTTCCATATCCAAAAAATATCCTCTAGTAAGGAAGGGGAAATCAAGACATTCTCAGAAAAGAAAAGTCAGTAGCCAGTAGACATCTCTTAAAAGAATGGATTCAGGGCTGGGCATGGTGGAGCATGCCTGTAATCTCAGCTCCTTGAAAGGCAGAGAAAGGAGGATAGCAGTACAAGACTAATTCAGGCAAAAACACAAGACTCTATCTGAAAAAGAAATTAGAAGCAAAAGGACTGGGGCATAACAGTGTTTGCCTAGCAAGTTCAAGGCTCTGAGTTCAAACCCCAGTACTGCAGGGAAAAAAAAAAACTATACAGAAATTTTCCTAAATGAAGAAATTACAGAAACAAGAATCTTAGAACATCTGGAAGGAAAAAAATGAGCAACAGGAAGAGTAAAAATATGAGTAAATAGAAAAGACTTTCCTTCTCTTGAGTTTTCTAAACTAGGTTTGACAGATGGAGAAAAAACCACATCATCTGATGTGGTCCTCAAAGTATGTAGAAGAGATAGTTAAGACAATTTTATTATGGATAAAGAAACTTAAAATAAAGTGAGCTATAATTTTTTGGTGGTATTGAGGTTTGAACTCAAGGCCTCACACTTGGTAGGCAGGCACTCTACCACTTGAGCCACTTCACCTTTATGCTTGAGCTATTTTTTAGAAAGGGTCTTGAGTTTTACCCAGGGGACAACCTCTGACCAAGATTCTCTGACCTCTGCCTTCTCGTGTTTTCTGTTGATCTTACCAAGCTTTTAAATACTTAGGGAAGTAAACCTTAACTAAATCAGAGTTCATTTAGGTATTTGCTCATGTAAAGGTCTCTTAAACACTGCCTTATAAACTGGGCAATGAAACAAGTAACACAATTAGTGCTCTATTATTTGTGGTTAAAAGTATGTACAACTGTGTGTCTAGACGTTATCTAAATATTACGCAAAATTTGCAGAGTTAAAAATTTGTCGGTTTAATATATGTAAAATGACCAGCTAAAGTTCTCTCTTATCCAAAAGCAATACATTTAAGACTTTGAATGAAACTTTTGGCAGTTCTGTTTGCAATCAGTAACATTCAGAAAAACCCTGCCATTTGGGCAATTCTGCTATTTAAAACCTGGCCTCTATTTGTCTTAGCCAAATAAATATTGTTGTATATATTAAATGGACTTGTGCATTAGGAAATAAGGCTATTTGAGATCACAAGCATTGTCCCCTAACTTATAAGAGCTAAAGTTTTGACTTTTTTTAATGCTGAACACCTATTATCTTTCCTAGCCAAAAATTCTAAATTTTATTCCAAAAAGCTAAATTAATACATATACATGACATCTGTGCAACTGTGATGCTAATTGTTGTCAGCTCCTTTGTAGTGTATTTATACTCCCCAAACATACAAGCCTTCTTAGGAAGAAACCTTTACCATATCAACACTCTCCAAATTAAAATTTTAGTGATGCAAGATTTTGCAGACTTGTGTCCATGTGTTCTGAATTGTAACAAGGAGCACTTAGTATTGCTGTTTTAATGTGGTCAGTCATAATTATTTTCCTAAAATGCTTCTACAATGGAAATGACTAGATGTTCTGACAATTCCTAAGCTACTGTTCAGCATTTTAACCATGGCTATTCTAAGTCTTGTCATTCGCAGTCTGGGTCTTTCTCTGGAACACTTGTAACTCAAACCCCCCCAAATGACTCTAACAAATACTTATTTTTCAATCGAGTCAGCCTTTTAGATACTTGCTTTTGTGAGCTTTTGTATTCTTCTTGTAAAATTTTAACTGTTGTGTGTTGACATTCTGCAACATTTTTAAGTTGTCAGGATATCATCCATAGTCCAAAGTCAGCCCATTTCTTCTAAACCTCTTTTATTGCTTAAATTTGGCCAAACAGGTCTTCATTGGCACCAATTCCTACCTGACCTGCCCGATGCTTCCCCTCCTACATAGGATCTAAAAAAAAAAAATTCTGGGAAAGGCTATTCCTGGAGATCAGGGTCTTTCATTAACTTCAGCAAGCAGTTGGTATAGGGTCAGAATCTTGTTTTGTAAAATAATTTTTCATTTTGAAACAACATAAATTCGTAAGAATAATGCAAAACACTTCTACATACCTTTCACTCAGTTTCTTCCTGAAGAATATATTTTTGCAATTATAGTGTAATAGAAAAAACAGAACATTTACATGGGTCCAATGTATGTATATATTTCTGTGCCATTTTATCCTATGCAGGTTCCAGCAAACACCACCGCAGTTAAGATACTTCACAGTGGGGTCAGGTGTGGCAGTGCGCACTGTTAGACTGAAAGAGACACAGAATAGGCGGGAGGATAGCTCAAAGCCAGCACAGGGTTCATTATTCGGGAAGAAGCCCTGTGGAAAGGGGTATCCAGCCAAAGCCAGAAGCCCCTTGCCACTCACAACTTGGAGTGAATATAGTAGGGAGGTCTGAAGGGAAAATTTTGGTGGGTGGGAAAATTTTTCCAGAGTGGAGTTAGAAATTGCTAGGAGAAGCTAGAGGAGGTAAGCAGTAGATAGGCTGCTGACCAGCTCAGGACCCCGTGGTGAGGTGAGAGTTTGTCATGTCCTTGCGGCCAAGTGTTGTCCTTTCAGAAAGTGGTGGGGTGTTTCCACTAAGGTGCCTGCAAGGGTGGGAATCTGGTCCTAACCTGGCTTCCCTTTTGCTCACCCTGATATTCCAAAGGCAGGAATATAGATGATAGATAGACAGATAGATAGATAGATAGATAGATAGATAGATATAGATATAGATATAGATACAGATATAGATAGATAGCACAGATATTCCTCTGTCTACTTCCTGCTGAATGTGGATGTCTAGGTCTTCTTTGCTTTAGGTGACTGTACCAGGCCTGATGAAGTATTGGAGGGAACAGTTAAGTACCTCTAAAAATTTTTTACATTTGGACATTTTTAATTTTGAGGGAATTATGGTTTTTTGGCCAATGATAAATTACTACAGGAGAAGGGGATGGATAGCTGGCAGCTAAATCAAAAGTACTTGTTATTTAGGTCTAAGACTAGAAACACCTTTATAAACTAGAACACAGAGTAAGTAAAAGCCAGAAGAATTCCAGTTAAATAGACTGTAGTGGAACCCATTTTAAAGTAACTTCATGAACACAGACAAGATATGTTTGGAGCCAGCAAAAATAGTAATTT